ATTATTATTATTATTATTATTACCCTCCTGTCATTAAAGTACCTGAGTAATATTTATATTTACTTTGACTTGATAATACTAAATGGCCTTAAATGTTTGTATTTTTAAAATAACAGGTGTAAATACTCTTCACACAGTTCATATTGTGATAGTAAAATCGATCCCTTTTATATCTGTTGTAAAAAATAATCAGTAAAACAAAGGACATCTAGAAATTATGGGTTTGTTCAACATGAAGAAACAAACTTTATGATCAGTTCATAGCAGTGAGGAGGCTGTTGAAAAATAAGGGGAGACTTTGAGAGGAATATGCACCATATAAAATATCTCATCTCTTTCTGCAGTTCCCAGCGGGGCCAGCAGGGGTCTCTCTCTGAGGCGTGGCGGCTCTCGCGTGCGGCAGGTGAAGATGACTCAGCTGTCGGGCATGGTGGTGCTGGGCAGGCGGGACACCAGCCGACCCCAGAGCCCCGTGCACGAACCTCCCACTTGGCCCAGCCAGCCCAGTCTGACCACACAGTCCCCCAACACGCAGGTGAGTGTGTTGACAAGGGAACAGACATAAGAACAGTGTTACTGTAAACGTATCCTGTTGGTCATCTTCCAGAGATACCTCAGACAACTGAGACGGGCACACACAGGGAAGTCTCAGGGTGGAGAAGCACCCTGTCAGTGTTACTGGTGTTGAAAAGACCTGCCATTTCCCCTTTAACAAATTGGGGCTTTTTAACAAAAAATGTTGTTGGCCCAGCTGTCGCTCTGTATGTCTCAGGTTTTTGAATGCCTCTCACTCTTTCTTTCTCAGTCTGGAAGTCTTCTACAGCCTGTAGCTGCTCCTCTTCCTTTACCAATCAGAGTGAGGGTCAGAGTTCAGGATAATGTCTTCCTCATACCTATTCCTCACAGGTCAGTGCCTCCACTGTCTTGCCACCATACCTTTGGTGACAACATTGTATGGCTGTGCCCATGATTTCATAATTCACCCGGGGGTTTAAATATTTGATCTTGGTCACTAGTCAAACTTTACATCTGTCCATTTTCTGTTAGGCTTAAATTATACCTAACAAGTCTTTAAAAGTGAGTTTTGTCTTTTCTCTTTAGCCACACAGAATTAGGTGATATGATATTCAAATTTTAATTGAACTGGTCATTTTCTTCATGCCTCATGCCTCACCTTTAAATTTGTTAAAGAAGACGTTGGATGATTTATTTATTTTTCCTTCACTAGGAGGTTAATTTCTACTATGGATATCTTTTCCTAATTCTTTGTTCACTGCTTGTGTCACATTTCAAGGTTGTTTGAGTCATTTAAATTATAATCTTTTTTTCATTTAGTGTCACTTGTTCAGACATTAATTTATTTGTTCACAGGAACATAGGAAAGCTTACAAAGAAGAGGAGGCCATCTAGCTTATATAGTGCTTAGCAGTTACCTGAACCATCATGAAAGAAGCTAGGGTATCTCCTTTAACAACATGGCTGGATAGTTGGTTCCGTATTGCTGCAACCCAAGTAGTTTCATTTGGTTCTGGCTTGTTGGTTGCAAAGCAGGCCGCGAGTGTGTGAGTTGCTGTGTTTTAGTTTGTGTGCGGTGCCTGTGTGTTTCAGCGAGGCGGAGTCCTGCACAGTGTCCTGGCTGTGTGAGCAGGCGGCCCAGCGGTATTATCAGGCCTGTGGCCTACAGCCTCGGCTCTCTCTGCAGAAGGAGGGAGCCCTACTTGCCCCCCAGGACCTGTTGCTGACTGTACTGCACAGCAACGAAGAGGTGAGAAGGGATCAGAGGAGAGAGGGACGGGGAGTGCCAATATGGGGATTGTTTATGTGCATGAAAGGCTTTTACTGAAGGTGGAGAGAAAGATCGTGATATTGTGAGAGAAGGTGAATGTAGCATGCAGAGATTCAGAGTTGCAAAACTGTAATGGCAAAACTGTGCTGTTTCAGAGAGGCACGTGGTTCTGATCTCTTCATAATATGAATGATCTTCAGCTGTAATGTCAGTTAAGATTTAGTTAAGTAATGTAGCTAGTTGGCGTAAAGGTGCATGCGTGGAGAGCTTTCAGTAAGTGTCTCCATCTCTTTTCCTCATGTCAGGTGCTGGCAGAGGTGACCTCCTGGGACCTGCCTCCCCTTCTGGAGCGCTACAGGAAAGCCTGCCAGAGTCTGGCTGTAGGTGAGTGGCATGATAGGGGCAGGTTTCATTATCTACTGGCGGTGTACCCAGAAAAACCAGAGAGTACACCCGAAGATCAGAAACATGAAATGAAATGCGTTTGGGGCTGTGTCTACACATTCTAAATTAATGGATTTTAATTGGTATGAATTGTGGGTGGAAGGAGGATATTAAGTCCAACTGTGTGCAGGAGAAAGGTGGCATTAAACCAAAAGCTGAAATTGAATGTTATTCTGAGAGATGGTTAAATTTAAGGAATAGCAATGTCCTTAACAGACACAATGGACTGTAAAGAAAGAGAAGATAAAAAGAAGCCTACTTTGTTGTCTCCCATATTGTTGTGTTTCTGTTTCTCATTTCCTAAACACATTTGTAATCATCTCGTAGCAAAAGTGATGAATGGTTGTAGCATGATTCTTCAAAAACATTGATTAAAAAGCCTATAAAGAATACAATTATAAAAAGTTACAAAAAAATTAAAAACTGAAACTTTCCTAGCTTCAAAATATTCTGCTCTTTTCTCTGCAGTATTTCCCCTTATATATTATGTATGTGCATATTACTATTACATTGAAAATAACTGAAAATAAAACTTTGACTCTAGACTATTCAATCCCAAATCAGTCCATCAGTTGGAAGAAATCCAGACTTGCCTCATAACTGAATGCATCTACTGTACATGTATGTTTTTTGATTACAGGTGCATCCCGGTGCTATTAGTAAAATAGATGCAGTGTTTAGTTTGTAACACAGGGAATATCGGTAACAAGGAAAATCTGTCTCTCGCCTCAAAGAAGGCGTGTGCAGTTGCTCAGGTGTAGTCATGGACAGGGTCAGACATAAGTGTTGAGTGAAATGGATTATTACATGCTCATCATGTGCAGGGACACAGTACATACTTGCTGAATGTGTCTGTCCCTCATTCTATGTGTTACAATGTGCTTCTCTTTGCAGATGAGAACAAACGGGTGTGTCGGCTCTGTGAAGTCCAGGATGGCAGCCCCACTCTCTCAGTGTCCGGGCTCAGTCTTTCTCCTCTCGCTCTGACTCCCTTGTTGCGCTGCTTGAAACTGCAGTCGTGCCTCAAGGAGCTCCGTCTCTCGGGCAACCGCCTCCGTGATGACCTCATGGCTGAGCTTGTTGCCACGGCAACCACCTTGCCCAATCTTCACATTTTAGACCTTTCTGCCAATCACATTACAGGGGAGGGGCTTAAGAAGGCCTCTGCTACACTGGATGGGCGGAGCCAACCTGCATTCCCGGTACTTAAGAGCTGCTTTTAGCGCCTAGATCACACATTCACTGCTTAATTTTTTGTCGCTGTTTTGAATTAATGACGTTTTCTCAGCTTCTTGCATTTTGTTTAGCTGATGGTGAACATAACTAACGGCAGTTTTTATCATGGTTCATCTTTCCATCAGTCAAAGGATGAGTTCTGTTAGTTTGGAGCATACTGCAGATGATAGCGCAGGTGCTGAACATAAGAAAATCACAACAGCATTGACAGTCAAGCACAACTCATTCACTTCTCAAAGATCATATAAACAAATGGTTAAGAGAAGTTTGTTAAAATGTTGCTTCAAATGTTTTTACATTAAAATGATTTGTATGTCACAATAAGAGAGGTTAGAGAGAAAATGGTTTAAAAATGATTAGTGTGCAGTAATATACACGTAATCCCATTCTGTTCCACTGATTCTTATGGGAAAAGTTTCTCCCGTTATATTGAAAGGGCAGTGATCATACTCTTATGGTCCCTAATCCTAAATAAACAATATTTACATTGTTCTTAGGAAGAAATATCTCCATGACGGTCATTTCGCTGTAAGTCTTGACTTTCTGTTCCCCAACCCCAAAGGATCAGGAACCGTCCTGTACTTCCATTCACTTCCACTGAAAGTCTCCAGTTTGACCTGATGTTTTTTAACTTCTTAATCTTTAATTGCTTCTTTCTGTGGATAGAGTTTGACCATATCTTGTCCCCACAGTGTCTGGAGGAGCTGGACCTCAGTGTCAACCCTCTAGGAGATGGGGTCTCTCAAGCCTTGTCTTGTCTGCTGTCAGCCTGCCCCCTGCTGGCCACTCTCAAACTGCAAGGCTGTGGGCTGAGTACCCGCTTTCTGCAGCAACACCGCCTCCTGCTGGCCAGCTCTCTGTCAGGTAAATTATGACAATGACATTCATAAAACACTGGCATTTCAATTCTTTGAAAACATCCCAGTGAAAATATATAAGGTATTAATTATTTGAAGTTGTTCTTATAGAGCTTTCCATCACAGGGTAAGGTTTCCATACTAGTTTTTTCCAATTATTTGATCTAATAATGTATAAGATTATTAGGGCAGCAGGAAACAAAAAGAATTAATGTAGCAAGCCATGTAGTCCAGTAAGAGTTCGTTTAAGGAATACATAGTTGCATTTAACCAAAAACTGCAAGTCTCGAGGAACACTACTGGGCAACCCTGCTTAACAGGCAGTGTAAACATTAATCATTTATATCACTTAGAAAGATGGTGCCCTCATGCTACCCAGGACTGGGACACGAAATTCCTAGATTTAGCACTTCGTGGCATTGTAGTTACAGATTTTAATAATGAGTTGCCTGGCCTGGCTTTTTTCTTGCTTTCTTCTTTCTTCTTTCTTAGTGTGTATGTGTTAGTGTGTCATTCTGTCTTTGGACTGTCCATATCCTGTGGGTCATTGGTGTCCAACCCAGGATTTTCAGATGATCTAAATATAGATAAAGCTCAGGGCACTTTAGTCTCTTTGAGAGGAAAAAAGTGGAAATCATCTACAGTGAGTCTCGCCCTCTGACATTTGCGTTTGCTGTGATGCAACTGAGCCATCGTGACTTATTGAAAGACACACATGCTCTCCCCGTAGGCACAGGACATCTGAAGTCTGTGTGTCTCTCCCACAATTCCCTGGGCTCCATAGGAATGGAGCTGGTTCTGAAGACACTACCTCTTCATTCGCTCACACACCTTGACCTGTCTGCAATCCGCAGAGGGCCTGCAGACTCTCCCAGTACAGAGCACCTGGCAGCCCACTTGTCTCAGGTACACACGGGCCTGTGTCACACCAGGGCAAATTTGTAACACAATGACCTTGTATTTGTAATCTTATTTCATTTATGCAGTTACAGTAATGTTACTGTTGAAAATTAGAATGGATTTGTTGTTTATTACTCTAACAAATAGTACAAATAACAAGATTCCCCTTCCTTTCTTGCCATATGAATTTATAAAAGCCCTCCGGTGATTAAATCCTGCAGGGGGCGGCAGAATGCAGCAGAAGAGACGAGAGAGACAGCTGCCTGACTGTGGACATGAGACTCATCGTTTAATATATTTTGCAGGAAGGCTGCTCTTTGATACACCTCAGCTTGGCTGGGAATGGACTCAAGGACTCTGACCTCGCTGCCCTGGCCAGGTGTGTTTTCCACATTGCTTAGACTGGGACCCACCCCTCGCGTTATGCATTATTAATAATTAATAATAATTGCTTACACTTATATAGCGCTTTTCTGGAGACTCCACTCAAACTGCTTTACAGGTAATGGGGACTCCCTTCTACCACTACCAATGTGCAGCATCCACCTGGATGATGCGACAGCAGCCATAGTGCACCAGAACGCTCACCACACATCAGCTATCAGTGGGGAGGAAAACAGAGTAATGAAGCCAATTCATAGATGAGGATTATTAGGAGCCCATGATTAGTAAGGGCCAATGGAAAATCTGGGATTTTTAATGACCACAGAGAGTCAGGATCTCTGTTTTACGTCTCATCCGAAGGATGGCGCCTGTTTACAGTATAGTGTCCCCGTCACTATACTGGGGCATTAGGACCCACATGGACCGCAGGGTGACTAACACCTCTTCCAGCAGCAACCTTAGTTTTTCCCAGGAGGTCTCCCATCCAGGTACTGACCAGGCTCACACCTGCTTAGCTTCAGTGGGTTGCCAGTTGTGAGTTGCAGGGTGATATGCCTGCTGGCCAGTTGTGAGTTATCGCATATCTTTCTTTGTCCTGATGTCTGATCTTCAACCTGTCCGTATCTGATAGTATCCCAGTTTCTTTTTCTGTGCAAGCAGGACTTTTGACTGTCCGTCTATAAAAACATCTCACTGTGTGTCTTCCTGTCCGTATGTGTGCTGGTCTGCCTCTTTGGTAATTACTGATGGGAAAGCCTTCGTAACCAAGTGAAGAAGGTAGTGTTTTGAATCAAAGGTTAAACTGAAATTTACTGCTGCCAGGTGATTTATTTATAAGGCCTGTCTTGTCATGTGTTTAGTTCCACACAGACTTTTAAGTTTGCAAAAACAGATACTACATTGGACACAAGTCATTACATCAATACAAGTACTTTCCACGCGTGCGTGACATTATGTGTGCAGGAAGCTGCACTAAGAAGACTTACAGACGAGTTTTGAGATTGACAGTATGGCATTACAGCAATGCTTAGGAGAACACAGTCATGATATAATACCCTTGTTTTAGTGGCATTGGCAGAGTGATACTGTATTAAAGAGTTTTTTTCATGTGAGAAAATGTAACAGATATTCAGAATACTGTTCTGTAATGTTGATACAAAACGTTTTTAAGCAGTAAAGTGCTCCCCACTGTTCAATGATGACTATTAAGATCTGTCTATTTCAGTTGGGATTTCCAGTTTTACATGAAACCAGATCAAGGTGGAAGGGAATTGTAAAAAGAATGTCACTTAGCTCTGAATTATAAAAAGGTGGAAGGATATTTTTTATATCACATCCTAACTGCAATTTAAAGTGCAAACCTCCATGAACTAACAACATCCTTGTCAGTGGATGCAATTTGAAAAATCTGTCTTTGATCACTGCAAGTGTCTCATTGTCTGCCTGCTTCTCTCCAGGTGCCTTACTGTGTGTCCCACCCTGGTGTCTCTGGACCTCTCAGGAAATCCTGGAGTTACGGCAGCCGGACTGGAGACGCTACTGTCTGCGCTCCGCGAATCCCAGCGCCCTTTGCGCTTCCTCAACTTGGCAGGTACTGCTCATCCAAACCGACGTGATTCTTTTTTCTGTTTAGTGCTCTCTTACTGCCACTGTGGCATTCTTCCGGTTTCTGTTCTGTGTCCTTTGGTTTTAGTTCATCTCTCTTTGTGTCCTCCCGGCAACTATATAGTTTTTTTCTCATAGTTTTTCGCTTTTTTTATTTGGCAGACCAGGGTCTTGGTCTAATTCTGTTTGATAGTTTGGATCTTTGTGGCAGCTCTTCAGCAGTGCCGGGCTTGCTGTTTCTGTTTTTCTCCTGAGTCCTCTTTCAAACTCGTTTGCTTTATCAACAGGACCTGATGTTATCTTGTAATGGAACATTAATGCTCAAACACAGGCATTTCACAAGCAGAGAGCATTTGATCATAAGCACAGCTACAATTCATTGTGTCTCTAGAACTGTATAGGGATTATTACACCCTTTAACCAATATTATTGTCCCTTTTCTTTGTCTGTTACAGCTTCTGTTCTCTTTTTTTCCTAGAAACGGCTTCAGTTTGTTTTTCACATGGACCCACAACAGGAATCTTGCTTTTTTAACTCCCATTCAGCTCTCCGTTTTACATTGTAGAGGGTGATTCCTCACATTGAGTACAGTGCCAAGGGTCACAGTGACATAAGTTGTCTGTGTTAGTAGCTACTTTTTGGTCTCTTATTTTCTTATTTCTTCACACTTTAGAAGTTGCAGGATTAAATTACGTAAATGTCAAAGTGTTAAGAACTCTAAAGCTTTAGCAAAAGCCATCGTGCAAAGAAGTCCAAGACTGCATTTTTCAGGCTATTGTCAAGATTAGGGTTTTGTTACTAATGTGCAATTGATTTACAGTAGATACTGCTTATAAACATGGTTATTACATGGTTTATTCAATACTTTGTATAGCATTTAGTTTATAAAATGTTTATAGACAGCATTTGCAACCCCTCGCCTATAAAAAGTAATTTTTCTCATAGAGAGAGTGTAGAGGAGCTCTGGCTCCTCAGTTAGATTTAGTGGTCTCTTAAACATAGCTGCAGTCTTTGCAGAAGGAGGGTGCTGTGTTGGACTGTAGAGTTCCCAGAGGTGCCCTGCTCAGATAGCTTTCCTTTCAAGTGCAACCAGAAGTTGCTATACATTACTTTATCATTATCTATTTGATCAGCAGAATGCCTCTCGCTTGTCTGCTGCTGTTGTTGGGGGGGAATTCCTGTGTATACCTCTCAGAAGCATAGGAGATATCTGTAGGTGGTTTCCATGAATACTCTGCAATTAGACCTCAACAGAGTAGGACTGACTAAGTTCTGCCAATATTATGAAGATGATTTATAGCCTCCACATGCCTCAGTGACAATGTGAATGCCTGTTTCTAATTAATTGAAGTAGATTTAATTTTTTACACTGTTTTGGAATAGTTTCAATTGTTTTATGCAGATTGATGCCTGATTTCTAGTCTGCACTAGGTCTCCAAAAGTCCTTCCTGTATAGGTTGACTAAGCTGAATACAAAATAGGGTTGTAAAAATAGTGTTGTAAAGAAGGCTGAGATCATGTAGTGTGAGGCTCACCCTCCCCCCTGTGAATTTACACTTATCTGGAAGATGCCTCCATGCCCCTAGTTTTAACGGTAATAAATTTAGGAAATCTTTCATCTCCTTTGCAATCTCATTCTCAAACAATGTAAAATAACCCTCTTACCTCATGAAACACTGTTATCCTAAACTCTGTGTTAGGTGACGTTTAGTTTTGCTATACTGTAGTCCTAGGCTCAGTGGTAAAACAAAAATTCCCAGAGGATAATAAAACGTGAGCTGTAAAAGAAAAGTTGCCTGTACCTAGCAGGCACTATGCTGGTCTCTTGGCTCGTGCTTGGTCTCTCTCTTAGTACTGACCTTGTGCCCTGTGTCTCTTGGTACCGGCTCTCTGTGTGTTTTCGTCTCCCAACTCTTACTCTGCGCCTTTCTCACTCTCCCAGGCTGTCTTGTGTCCGGCCCATGGGATAGCACAAGCATCAACAACTTGTCTGCTTGTGTCTGGGAGCTGCGTCTGTGCTCCCAGCGCCTCAACAAGCTGGACCGGGAGGAACTGCTGCGCAGATGGAGCGAAGGGGCCGAACGTAGCCTGGTGTCCCGGCTCAGCAAGTGTTTCATCAGAGCTGCCGCACCCCTGGGAGACCCAATGACACTGCCTGGGCCTTGACCACAGCCAAGAAGAAGATTTTCAGTTTTACCAGCTGACTTTCTTTTTGATAGCTGTATACTGCTGGGGCAGCATGTGTTTAATCTTCATCTGTCTAGACAAATTGCACAGACAAAAGCACTTTGTCACAGCCTCGGTGTCAATGTGCCTCCCTGAAGCCACAGGCATCAAACTGTTCTCAGGCCGTTTCTGTATGCACATCTCACCTATGGGTCTGTGTTGGTGTGGAGCCATTTTATAGATGAAAAATCATTTGCTTGTAAAAAATTCTGTATTAAAATAACATTTGCCTTTTGTCATTTTGTGAATTTCCAACAACTTCTCAACAGGTCCTTTTCTTTAAAGCAAATATACTTCATGCTTGTTTTGCAGGGGAAATATTTGGCCATAAATTTTAAAGTGCAGGAAACAGTGATGCGATTTCTGCTAATAATTCTGATGCAGTGTTTCCACGTGTAGTTGCCGGAAGGCTGGCTACGCATTCTGGATGGAAGGGCAAAACTATTTTAGAAGCTTAAGGAGAAGATCAAGTCGTCCTCTATAACCATCAAAGATAGGCATTGGCTGTGTGCGTCATTGTTTTCACAACGTGGTTTATTATAAAACCACAGAAACCACTGTAGCGTTTCAGTCTGAAATGGTTTTGGCTTGAAATAAAAATGGCTGTGCTGTTCATCACACCAGTAGATCTTGAAGGTGGTCGGAGAGGTCAGAGTAGAATATTGCAGACAGCATGCATGCTCTAAAGTGGTAAACCGACCTACAAAGAGCTCACTATTAGATGTGCCAGAAAACTGAAAATAGCCTGTGGTTGCGGAACATTTTGTAGGCCATTGTTTTTGTATTAATCATGTACTGAATATGAAGTCTTTCATCACACAGCCGGCAGAGGCAGGCTTAAATTTGTCCAATAGAAAGAGCGGGTAGATCATCTGATATGATTAGTATTCTTTCTACGTGATGTGGTGGAAAACCAGAAGCCAACATGATCATATAACAGGATTGAGCTCAGTTTTGAAAGTTTCTGGCTATCGTTCTTCATTACCTTGCTTTGCAGTTTATTCATGCATTCATACTTCTCAGTGTAAAAATGTTTTCTAGTACCAATGCAGAAATTCAGCTTAGATGCACAGAAACTCAAGATGGAACTGATTTTTACAGCACTTCACTGACTTGTGCTCAGATCCACTTAATAACCTACCAGAATTGCTGAGAGTAGCTAAACCTCCATTGTGTAAGGTTTAAATTCAGCTGCCATCATAAAACAGCAACGTGTCCTTGTTTTAATCTGTGTTGTCCCCACATTAAAGATTGTCCTTTGTTTTTTTTCAGACAGCAGTTGGCATTTAGGTTTATTTTTTTAAAGGGCTGTGTCAGTAGAGTTCCTTGTTGAACATGCATGAAATGTAGCCTCTTAGTAATTAAAGGTATCCGATCGTGTCCAGTCCTGAAGGGTTAGTGTGCCTGCATGTTTTCAAAGTCTCTTTGAAACAACTGGTTTAGCTGTGTAGTTATGAAAACCTGCCTTCCAGGACCTACATTCCAAAGAACAGTCAGCAATCGGGGCACTTCCTTCCACTTGGTTAAGGGTGTGACTGCACCTGCATTCTCACCTTGAGCAAAACAAAGAAGAAGAATTCCTTACACTTCTAAAGTGCTTTTCTTGACCCTGCTTTCAAAGCACTTTACAGGTAATAGGGACTCCCCTCCACCACCACCAATGTGCAGCACCCATCTGGATGATGTGACAGCTAGACCAGTACGCTCAACACACATCAGCTATCAGTGGGGAGGAAAACAGTGAGGTAGCTAATTGGTAGGTGGGGATTATAAGGCCATTGTAGGGATGCAAGGAGTCGCAGCGCAGTCCAGTGAAGGTTTGAGATGAGTTCATTTCTGAGTTAAATGTCCACTTTTGGAGAACACTGAGGTAGACACATTCAAGGTTTATTTTCCATGGTACCCAGAGTTGCAACAGTGTTACAGAGGGATTTATAGTTGAGTCCAGCCATGTTATTACCATGAATGGGGGTTTAAGATTCTGCATACTACTAATGGTCCAATGGCTATTCTTGATACCTTTCAACTGTTTTTTAGGTGTTGCATACAACAGAAGGTGTCTGTTCAAAATTCTCAAGCCTGGTCAGAGCCTGATTTCTACACCATGATTGGTAAAGGCCAGGGGAAATTCAGCCAGGACACTGGGGTTAACACCCCAACTCTTTTCAAGAAATGCCCTGGGATTTTTAATGATCATGGAGAATTAGGAACTAACCCTTACATCTCATCTGAAGGATGGCACCTTTTTACAGTATAGTGTCACACTGGGGAATTAGGACCTACAAGACTATAAGGTGAGTGCTCTGTAATGACCTCACTTACACCTCTTCCAGCAGCAACCTTAGTTTTCCTGTCTCCCCACCTAGGTCTGGCTCACACCTACAGTATTTTCAGTGGGTTACTAGGTGTGAATTACAGGGTAATTTAATCACAGCATTCTTTTAAGCATCCAGGTACTGTAACTGTCTTGCTTTTATATTTTCTTCTGTTCTTTGATTGTTTTGGGGGGAAAAAT